CATTTTACACGTGGAAAATAGTATTGAAAAATTTAAATGCATGTTTGAATTTGAATGCTCACACTCATATGCATGCACACACACACAGTTTGTTTCAAGGTCACATAATTCTGTGTCAGAAGCCTGCATTTAAATTCATTCCTGGAAAACAATAAAATTCATTCCTGGACAATTCCAAATTTCAGGGACTTAACCAAACCAGCGTAATGCTTAGTTTCTCTGTCTTTCTAGCTCTGTTCCTTTGAGCCATTTACTTATCTTCTTTGACTTATCTTCTTTGATACAGTTATCTCAGCACATTGTTTTGAGAATTAAATGGGATCATGCGTATAAAATGTCTAGGCCATATAAGCAAGCTTACAAAAGGTTATTCCCTTCCTGTGTCTGAATCATCAACCTTATCTATCCTTGGAGTTCTCCACTGTCTCAGCTCCCCCATCCTCTCCCTGCCCTGCCCCCTAGCTTGGGCACAGATGGCAGAGAGACCCAATGACAGGAACCGTCGTTACTGCTAGCTGTGTGTCTGGGGTCAAGTAATTTCTTCATTATCTTTCCTTATTGCAAACAGCTTTTGTAAAAGAAAGGGTCCATTAGTAAATATTGATGCTGGCAGGCAGGGCGTGCAGGCTGTCAAACAGCTGAAATGAGGGATTGTCAGTTCAGCAGCAAGAACATGAAAGCCAGTTTAAAGCAAAGATTGAATAAAAGAGTATGGAAACTAAAGGAACAAGAAAACACTCATCAACCATGAACAAAGGCAAAGAAAGTTTCAGTTTATGTTGTTTAGAACAAGTGTGCAACTTCATGAAAGCCCATACTCTAAGACACAATTCAGTTTACATCGATTTGCAAAGAAATTTTAAAAAAGAAAGAATAATGCATTATGACTACCATGTACAGTGTGTTTGGAATTCAACATGAGTAAGAAGCTAACACTGTTTTTTAAAAAAAGTGGAAACTGTTTTTAAGAAGTTTATAGACTAAGACAATTGTACCGTGTGGTTATTGAAACAGTTTTTGCATTTAGAAAAATCTGATGCAAAATCAAATTGTATGACCTTAAATTTCCTATATGAATCTCAGTTCCCTCCTTGTGAAATGGAAATTATAGTGCCAACACCATAGTCTGATGTGAGGGCTTCGAAAGCATGCGACATTTTCTCTAGCACATAGTACATGCTCTCAACAGCACTGATTTTCAAGAGTGCTATTATCATCTCACATTGTAAGACAAAAAATTCTAAGAGTGAAAAAATGTATGTAATTTTTGTGATGGGTCTTGGAATTCGTAGCTCACATCTATTTCCTTGGATCAGGAATTAGGAAGTAAAATGGGAACATTTATATCATTTACTAAGAAAAGATTAGGTTTGGGCCATGTTAACTTTGTAAGGATTGAAAAACAAAAGTGGGGGTGGTATTTTGGTGTTCAAGTGAAAAACAGGGCACTGTTTCATTTGTTTTTGCAACAAATGAGTATGGAGATGAGGTTTGGTGGAGAAAAATTTATGAAAAAAATTGAATACAAGCCTTTGAAAGTCTGAGATGCTAAGTCAATAAGTTAGGACTTCAGGATCTAGTAATAAAGTTTCATAGGTTTCTTTGAACAGGATGGAACTGTTAGTATTTCTTTTATCATCATGGCATAATTCTATCTCCAAACTAAATTTGCAGAGTGGTGTTCATGAGCACTGGCTCTCGAGTTCAGCGGTCTGCTTTGGAAGGACAGGTTACTGTGGGATCTCAATCAAGTTATTTCACTTTTTTCTACTGCAGTTTCTTCATTAGTAAGATGAGGTAATGATGATCTCTAGTTCACAATGGTATATGATGATTAATGAGATAATATATCGCATCATTCAGAATGGAGTCTGGCATCACTATCATCACTATCACCTAGTACTAAGGTCGATCCGTTCTTGAATAATGCTCAGCTATTACTGGGTAACTGATCGACCTATATGGTTGGTTGATGATACTGCTGCTTCATCAGTCTATCTCCATCAGCCGATAACCTACATGCAATTTCTTTTCTGACAGTGGATACTGCTATTCCATGAACCCATGTTTAAATCATCATGTTACAAAATATAATGACTTTGGCACAACTCCAATGGAGATATCACAGCAGGAATGATGGAACAGCTGCATGGCAGTAGGAGGAAGACCATGTTGATAAATCAGACCCAGGATGGTCAGGGAGAGGAATCAGAGAAGAATACTCCTTCTAAGAAAACCACCAGTTTGTTTGCTGGAGAAGAAGCACTGCCATTATAAGTTTGGCTCCACTAGCCATGAATTTCCCTGCTGGTTTGTCCTAATTGTGTCTCAGATGCTGGACTTCGTTGAGTAATCTTGCAACGTTTGTCCCCGAGCTGCTGATGCTCCGCTGATTCTCTATCACTTTCTGTCAAACCAGCCTCCTCTGTGTCCAAGCCCTGAAGCCAAGATATAGATTGAACTTTGTACTTTCCAACATGCATAATGCTACACTGATTGGCTGGAGTTTAGGTAGAATCTATATCACCTTCTTTGTAAGGAAATAAATGATAGAAAGAGAGTAAGACTTGCTCCAAGTCACATACTCAGAACCACTGGCCTGGAACTCTGCTGCCCTGTCTGGCTGTTGAAATTCTACCCCTTGCACTGCCTGCCACTCTGCCTACAGATACCAAAATACAACAGAGCCATGTGCAGACAAGACATGCAAGACTATGGCTCTCAAACCCAATCATACCACTCCTATGGTGCTTCTTCTCAAAATTGTTAAATGGCTTTTCATTATACCTCACATAACACAGCACAATAATAGACTGTTAGTCTTAGTTCAAAAGTTAGGCAACTATGGGAGAGAATGGGATTTGGGAAATAGGGCCTGCAGGATAGCTTAGAAAGATCGGGACTATTTAGCTGAGAGAAGGTGGGTGAGTAACTTAATAATAATTTTCAAGGGTTATTAAAAGACCAGCTGTTACCCATTTCCACCAGGGGTAGTAGGGAGGAAATTATAGTCATGAGAATTTAGTTACAGCATTATGGGGAACTTCTTTTTTTTTTTTTTTTTTTTTTTTTAAGCTATCAGGTCTATTAGACACCAAAACACACTACTAAGCAAAATTGTGAACTTTTTCCATGGGAAATATTCCAGAGTTGGGCATATATGCTCACCAGTGGTTCCCAAGCACTACTTCCTGGACTATTAAGATCAACTCACTTGGAGCCTCTCTTACAAACACATATTTCTGGGATCCACTTCAGCCCTTTACAATCTCTGATAGTGGGCACAGGATGCTAAATATTTGAACAAGGATGAGGTAAGTCTGTGCAAAGCCACATTTGGAAACCAGTAGTATATGCTGAGTCAGTAAAATTTAACACAGTGAGAATGGCCTGATCGGTGGTCCTGCCACTGCTGTTAGCTTCAGGGAATTACAATAATAAAAGAATGGAGTATAACTTTCGTCCTTGTGGAGCTCCCAGTAAAGTAATTAAGGACTAATGATGAATTAGGGCAACCATTTTGCCTTTAACATAGTGTGACTTGGGGAAAGTTTCTTAATTCCTTTGACCCAAGGTCCTAAATTGTTAGAGGAGTTGAATAAAATGGTTCTATCGGTTCATCCGAATCTTTAAAATAAAATAATGCAATACGAATAAAGCCTATTTAAAAATATAACAGAATGCTAATTGAAGAGTATGAGAGGGAATGTTAAGGAGAGAAATTCATGTGAACAGGACTTACCAGAGAAAGCCTCAGGGAAAACAGGATGTTTAAACTTGGCATTGAAGGATGGGTATGCTAGGAAGGTAAATGCATATGCATATATGAGGGGCACTCCAATTTTTTCAGCAGTAATGTGGACCAAGTTCACACTTTGCATCATTTAATGCAGAACATCATTTAATATTTATAAGGCCTTGCATTGTGAAAGTAGAGCTAGTTTTTAGAGGATTTTATTATATACTAGACACTTAGGTGAGTACTTTATAAATATTACCCTAATTGAGTAATCACTATTACATCATATCCAAGGAGAGTTATAGAGCTTTCTGTCTTTCTGTTTTTGTGTTTTATGTTTGCATAAGAGAGAGAGAGAGAGAGAGAGAGAGAGAGAGAGAGAGAGACAGTCAGTCTGTGGAAATAGAAATGAAGTGGCGGATACAGAATACTGAAAACTTGAATTGAATAGAGGAAAATGATTGTGCATAAACTTGAACTTTACTAGTTGATTGGGGAGGGACAAGGAGGTGGTACATGTATATTTCAATGACATAATTGTTTAAATAAAATGACCTCTGGATTAAAAAATTGAAACATATATTAGTATATTAGTTTTTTATAATGAATTAAAGGTTTATTTATTTATACAAGAACTGGGGTGCAGGCCAGAGGTGCAGGAAGGTGAGAGAATTCACCAGAGACAGAGCAGGGAGCAGAACAGGCAGATGACTAAAAACACTGTTGCGGGAAACAGTGGGTGAGACAGAAGAGGTCTGACACACCATGTGGGTATCTCCCTGGCTGGCTGGTAATCGAACCTGTGCTGCAAAGGCTGCAGACAGCTTCACAGTGCTGTGCTCAACCCACTGCCCCACTGGGGAGGCCGTTTTTGATTTCCTAAGCAGCTGAGCCCACTGCTTTACTAAGTGTGGTCCATAAGTGGTCTTCGCTTGTATACTCTGCCTGTTGTTTTCTATTTATAGGGAGACCTCCTTTTCAGCTTCTGAAGCACTAGGGTCCCAAGCATTTCTGTCTCAAGTATTCCTTCAAAAACTTTATGAAGTGATCAAATCATATGATCTGTGTGGCTTACATAAATTGACAAGACTCCCAGTAGTGAAGAATTTGGACTTCAGTACCAGTTAAACATGAATCCAAATGCTTGTTCTGCCTAAGGAGCATCTGAATCTAAATTGAAACTATTTGCCTTTCTGAGAGTTGTTTACCTTCTCTGTATAATTGAATTGTTTCTGTGAAGATGCAATGATATTGTTACAGAGCTCTACCAGCTAGCTCAGTCGGTAGAGCATGAGACTCTTAATCTCAGGGTCGTGGATTCGAGCCCCACGTTGGGCACCAAACTGTTAAAGAGCAGCCCCAATATAAAACGGGTTGCCTGGCTGTGGGTCCTCACTTGCACGCTTAAGAGGAACTTATTAATACTCCACTACAGACACACACAAAAGGTTAATAAAAGGTTTATTTACAAGGGAAAGGGAAATGAGGAAATGTACAACTCAGGGAGAAAATAGGGAAATAAAGTCTTCAAGGCATCCTACCTGATCCATCGACCAGGAAACCCAATGACACTGAGAGCTGGCCGAGCGCTGTGAGCTGGCGGAGAGCCAAAAAGGGAACCCCCCCCTCAAAGCCCATGTGTCTGGTTTTATACCAAACCTGGCTGCTTAACCCCACCCTCAGGTTCCAGCAACCTTCCCTTTGGTGGTGATGGGATTTGTCTTTCCCAATGTCCTTATGGCTTTAGTCTGGAGTGGGGGTGGAGTCCACAAAGCCTGTATGAAATTAGCTTTAGGACATCCTTTTCCCCCTAACAATTTGACACACATATAACACACAATATAATCATGAATCAGCTCTCTGTCCTTCCATTACATTAGTTGTTCCCCTGCCTTTAGTTATTTCGTTGATTTTGTCACCATAGAAAAAGTTCTAAGGTAACTGAATTATAAAACTGTGCCTCAGTGGAATAGTTAATATGCCCTGTCCAGTATAATTCTCCCAACTTTGCACTTAATTTAAAGTATGGCTTCTCCCCTCCCTTCTTCTAGACCTGCAACAGTCTAATATTTTCTAGGGGCAAATGGGTATATAGTCAGCATCCACGGCTCTGTCTTTGTTTGCCTTCTAAATGCTGTATTGTTGGAGCAAGTGTTAAGAGGAAAGGGAAAGGAGCAGTCAAAAAGTTCTTCGACTTACTGGAGAACTAGCATCCAGGTTCTTTGTGCAGGACAGATGTTTGATGACCCCCCTGTCCATCATGGGTTCTCCTGGCACTACCATGTCAAATTCCATGATGCACCTCTGTGCTAACTTATCTCTTGTTACTCTGGCTACAACCTATTGCCTTGTGGTCCTCACATCATCCATGCAAACCTCTTAGACAATTCAGTAAAATACACTGATAATTCCATTCTGATATATACAAATAAATGGGAAGATTACAATATTGCCCTTATACGAAGATGATAACTAATAAACGAAGAAGGAATGATAGTGATAGACAATCACCATTCTGTAACTATAGTAGTTAATTTTCCTCAACTAATATTAATGTGTTCTGATATTAGTAGATGAAAGCTTGATAAGGAATAGAATATTTACCTGGCCTCAAAGTAACTCTCCATTTGCCATTAATTGCAAAAGTAAATTTACAGGGCAGAAGCGCTGTAGACAACCTAAATCAGGTGATTAAAATTAACATCAGGAGGAGTGGGACAAATTGAAACTGTGTACCACTTGACAGGATACAGTGAGAAGAACACAATCTCTAATTTTATCTAGTTGCCCAAACTCTGTAACCTAAATTCAAACATGAGTAAATATCATACAAATTTAAGTTGAGTGATAGTCTACAAAATAATTGGTCTGTGATGTTCAAAAGCATCTGAGTCTTTAAAGACAAGGAAAAGCAGAAAAACTGGCATTCTTTGGAGGAAACTAAAAATAGGCAACAATTAAATGTGACACATCCTTCTGCACTGAACTACTCTGCTGGAAAGGACATTTGAGGAAATTAAAGATACTTGGAAAAGATTTAGGAAATGAGGTGTCAGTAGCAAATCAGTGTTAATTCCCTAATTGTGGAGCTTTTACGGTGGTTCTGCTGGAGAATGTCCATGTCACAGGACTTTTACACTAATGTGTTCAGGTGATTTGACATGTTCAGAACTCACTTTCAGTGCTTCAGAGGAGGAAAAAAAAAATAATGTCTGGACTGTTGTCTCACGTTTTAGTAAGTTTGAAATTACTTAATTTTTTTTTTTTAAATAGAGGAAATGTTACAGAGAAGGTTTCTCTAGTACTATCAGTTACATATTGTTGCAAGACAACTAGAGCTTACCTGACGGCATGCAGTTATAGGACACTGAGCACTCCTGGACTACCCACAGACATAAGCTAATTCACATTTACAAAATTCTTGGGTAATTTGTTTTTGTATAAATAAATGTCAGTGGGGTCTACCATTGGTCTACTGAATGTACAGGTTATTCAGTTAACAGAGAAAGGTGGCTCAATTAGCCTGGAATGTGTTATGGTTTTATCTTCAGATATTTTAAGTACTTTTTTTTTAAAGATTTATTTATCCATACAAGAACCGGTGAATCTCCCAGTGCCAGATTCATGGGAGGACGAGAGGATTCACCAAAGACAGAGTGGGGAACAGAACAGGCAGACTGACAAAATACACTGCTGAGGGGAGCAGCGGGCATGACAGGAGAGGTCTGCCGTGCCATGTGGGACCCTCACCAGCTGGTATTGATCTGGCACTGCAAAGGCTGTGGACAGCTTCACAGCGCTGCACTCAACTGCCTGCGCCACCAGGGGAAACTAAGGACTTTTTTTAAGGACTATTTTAAGGACTTTTTAACAGGAGAGTGGTTATATTTATTTTTGGAGGCCGAACAGAGAAGCAAACTGATGGAAGACTAAAGCTTTCAGTTTGGATTCCAGAAGACAGAACATGCAAGGGGGTCTCATGGGGGGTAATGAGTTGTCCACAGTGACAGCTGATCAAGTCTGTGATTAACAGGTTAAGTATGTGCTAGAAGAGGTGAATGGCATCAGAGAAAGGTAACTGCCTGATTTCTAAATTCCCCTCAAACTCAAATATTGAATACTGATGAGTCTTCGAGAAACAGAAATAGTTAATTGGGCCAATGGATGTGATCAGGGAGGTTGGATCTTAAATTTGGATGTTTTCGTTCTTACTCAAGAACCAACCAAAGACATCCCAATGCTAAGGTACAAATAAGAACAAACATATCCATTTCTACCTTTATAATTTCAATAACCATCTCATTTTGATGGACCTGGCTTCAAGTGGAAGGAGAAAGATCCTTCTATACTGTCAACATAACACAAATAATGAGGTGCTAGAGAACACTGACTGATCCATCACTTCATCATTGAAAGATGGGTCCATTAAGGGGACACAGCGGGCCTGAAGGGATTGTGTGATCATTTGCACAAATGCTAATTTTGATATGTGGATCTTCACATCCATAAACATGATGCATCTGGGCCAGCTTTATGAGCAGTTGCTTCTTCCCCGGGGGGGAATTCCATGAATCAGCACCAGGAGGGCCAGTTGCTGGGGTAGGGCACAGGGTCTCCATCCTCCTTTCTGGATATGCACACAGACAAGAGCATGCCTGAGTGCTGTGTTATAGGGCAACCATCTTCTACCCCAGGGAACCCACCTCTCTCTGGATTAAGTACTATGCTGTAGGGTAAGAGAAAAAGTATCAGGCTTTTCTGTCCTCCTGCCATTAGGATTGATAATGGATCCTTGCAGTCCTGAATGCATGCCTGTTAGTGGGCACCTGGAATAGGGTGTGGGCATATGTAGATGGGATTCATGTGGGCTAAGACTGGGCTTATAAGGGCAGTGTCACGGGGATGCCAGCAGAAGCAGAGCGGAAGAGCAAAGAGCAGAAGAGAATGAGAGAGAAGGGGAGAACTAACACCAGAGAAGCCCAGAGTGAAGACTTGCCAGGGCCTTGGAGGTCTGCCGGCCTCCTGGCCCCCAGGCATTCCTGCCTACTGTGTACCTGGTTGCTGCACTATATGTAAAGCTCAATAAAAGCCTGAGAAAGCCACCGGGAGCTCCAGAATTCCTATGCCCCAGCCCATATACATATGCATACAAAAAGCCTGGAACCACTCCCTTCCCTTCTGTGGCCTTAGTTTCCTGACCTATAAGGAATTTGCAAGAGACAAATGTCTCCAAAATGACCCTGCTTGGCAGGGAGTATGTTGAGAGAGAAAGAGCAGGGCTTTCAAATTAGACCTGGATTCAAGTCCTGCCTCAGCTACTTGTAAGATTTCAAGCAAGATTTTTGAGTTCTCTGAGCTTAACTTCCTCAACTGAAAACAACTGAGGATAATACTGCATTCCTTTTAGGATGCTGGGGATGCAAATTGGCACGCCCTTGCTAAATATTTGCTGCATGGCTGGATTTTATATATGTTAATTTACCACACAGCAGTATGTGTATAATCAAATAATCAAATATTTACATTTATGCCAGTATACCCACACAAAACCTAGAGAAGATAGAAAACAGGGTCAATAATAAAAATGTGGCTAATATTTAGGTGAGTGAATTTTTTGCCCAAGCCTACACAGTCCCACTAACATAAAGTAGACAGACACTCAGTAGTAAACATTTGTCATGTGACTAAAGGTCACAACAACCCCCATCCTCATAAATAGAGATCCACAGTTTTAATGCAAACCCTAGGGAAGTAGAATTTTCAACAAAGACATGATTTTGCCATATGCCTTGGATTATCCTGTTTTTTCTTCTTCCTTTTCTTAGTTCTATCTGGTTAGGTAAGGGAATTAGTGGAAGGAACATTTCTCATGGGATAATCAATGCTCAATTTCATTGAACCCCATATGGAATGGCCAGGATCTTATGTGTCATCTCAAAGTGGGTTTCCCATCAGCATCCACTAAAACAGATCATATAGGGCTTGTCCTCCAACACACACGAGCACACCCCCATTAGATCCAATGGAGAATGTAAATGCAATAGTGGGACCTTGTAGTGCTGGCAGGCAGTAGGGTAGAGCAGGCAGAGGGGTCTCCTGGAGCTCTCAGTGGCTTTTTCAGGCTTTTAATGTTCTTCCTATGACATTTGTAGTGAGGTAACCAGGTGCAGGGCAGGCAAGCAGGCCAGGGTGGGCCCTCTGGGCTCTCTGCACTGTCACAAATCGGGCAGGCAGGGGAGCTAGAATGCTGACATGTCTCCCAGTCCCCGCCAAATACCTACTGTTTCTTTGGGATCTCTCTGGAGTTTTCTCGTGGTCTCTTCCTCTCTCAGCCGTTG